CACATTTCAGAGCTGTAATGAAGCATGATTACAATGGGATGAGAGTGTGATTTTTAATATAACCCTAAATGGATGCGTTCAAGAGCGTGCCGTCCCTTCTCAAAATCATCACTTTGTGAGTCTACTCATGTTTTCCAGTGCTTCTGGGATTGCTCAAACAATTGTTTGATCTGGTGTTCAGAGCCACATTATTTGAAACTCCAGAAAATCATTCTTGTGGCTTCCCCAGCCGTGCTTCATTTTTTTTTTTTAACCCTACTAGTAGTGCTTGGTTTGATCCCCTACTGAATTCACAGCCCTGGTTCTGAATGACTTTTTCCTCCTTTGAAAGTCATCACCATCCAAGGCGAAATGGTTGAGAACAGCAAGGAAGTGCAAAGGAATAATTTTTCTTACCCTCCGAAACTTGGAATTAAGGCTTAGGTTTTTTCCAAATAATTGCTCTTGGGTTAAAAACATGCCTGCAGACTTTGATTTATCACAAAGGGTTATTTGGGAATGAATGAATGGATGAAATTGACAAGCATTCAGTGTTTGTTATGTGTCCTTTATTAATGGGTTCAGGTAGGTATTGGGATGCGTTGTTGGATAAGCAGTGGCTTTTGGTCTCACAGAGTTCTCAAACTGATGGGAAGATAGACCCACATGTGGATGAGCAATATGGGACATGCACTTGGGACATCTCGGGCAGGGGCAGGGAGTGTGGGCTGGGATGGCTCCCACAGAGACCAGTCGGCTGTAGGAAGCAGTGCCAGGGAAAAGAGGAAGGCCAGCAAGGGTGTGAGCACTCACACCCTTGCTGGCCAAGGCCCTCCCTGCCATGGAGTCAACTACGACTGGGCAGTTTATCCAAGAGGCCCAGCAAGGGCAGTGGCTGGGGCCCACCATATGTTCAAGGCTCACAAAAACGTTTTCTTTTAAAATCAGAAGGATGTGAGTCAGTCTGGACTCTATTTGTCTATATACAAATGCAGTCATAAAATATAACTTTTACTATTTCTTTAAAAGGAATCATTATATTTCCTTTTGGAGGAAGGGGTCTAGGAAGGCAGAAGAGCCTTGGGCCCCAGAAAGGCGTAATGTGGTCCTGCTTCAGACTGATTCTCTTAAGTGATGTCCCGGTGTTGCCCAAATGGGGACAGGACAGTCAGATTTGCACCCTTGTGCAGGGACAGTTCCTGGCACTTAACTCTTTGCTCCTGGGGTGCTGGCCATCAAAAGCTCGTTGGAAGCTTTGGCGTGCAGAATCAGCAAAGTGGAACAGGAGAGCTGCTGAGCAGAGAACTGACTCCTTGTTCGCAGTTGAAAGAGAAGTCCCCAGATGTCAGGTGGGGATCAGGGAAGACAGCAGGAAAAAGGGGGTGCTGTGGACACCAGGGAGCTTAACCAAAGAGAACCAGAACTTAACTTCAGAAGGGAGCCGCTTTGATTTTTCTTTCTTGAAAAACGGTGGATTTAGGGATGTGGGAGAGGGAAAGAAATGCATAGGTTCTCCCCTGCCTTCCAACGCGTTGTCCCAACTCACTAAGGCAGACGAAACGTGGCCAGGCCATCTGAGGTCAAGAGGACGATGCCGGCAAAACAGGGGCAAAGGGGCCTGAGGTGTGAAGCACTCTCTCCCCTGAGTGTCTAATATCCTCCAAGAGTCTGCACCCGCGTGGAAATCGGGCCAGGGGCTCAGACCCCGACAAGGCTCCTCACACAGGCCAGCTGCTTTCTCTGGGAGGGAGCTCTTGCGGATGACGATGGGGATGATGGGCATGGGCTCCCAGGTTCCTGCTGACATTTACGGTCTCACCGGCAGCTCCCCCCTGCCAGTCACTTCTTAATAAGGCATGTCACCCAGAGATGGCGTGGTGCTGAGCTCCTTCTGCCCTTTCTTCTTTGCACCTGGCCTTCTTTCCATCACTGAGGTCTGACTCTGCCACAATAGCTTTCTCCCCAGAACCACAGGCCTAAGAGATTTCGAGGCGGCTGATTCTGATTCCTAGACCCCCGCCACTGTCTAGTCTCGGTTGTTCGGATTGGCCTGCTCACTTCCAAAGAGTGGGAAGATGTCAGCTTCATGCTCTGCCTCTCTGATTTCGCCTAATTCCTGAGCGTCTAAGAGAACCCAGCTATTTCCTCGAGGCAGATCTTAAGAATGAGAAGATGAAGCGTCCCGAGAGGCGAGCCGGGCCGACGGCGCCGTGTTGGAGCGCCAGAGCGGGCCAGCGGGGAGGGCGGGCGGGGCTGCTCCACGCAGGCGCATCTGTGCCGCCCCTGGGGCCCGGGGCTCAGGAGGGCCCGCGCCGTCAGCACTGGTCTCCTGCTGCTGCCTAGAAACTCCTGCCACTTTTTGAACAAGGAGCCCCGTATTTTCACTTTGCTCTGGGCTCTGCAAATATGTACTGGGGCCTGGATCTCGGGCAAGATCGTGAGAACAACACCAAACTCCATGCAGCAGCGCCAGGCCCTGTGCTAACCTCGCGGTGCGTGAACACATCTCACCCCAAGTCTGTGAGGCAGTTACTGGGATTTATTGTTAGCTCCATAGTACAGAGGAGGAAACGGAGGCACAGAGAATTTAGGCCACTTGTCTAACGTCACAGAGCTAGAATGTGGGAGGACAGGGATCCATCCAGACTCTGTTCTCATGGCCCTATGTCCTGCTACTGCCCATCCAGGAACTTGCTCTCCCCTGAGTCTGTCTCTGTGCCTCCGGGGGCCAGACATTCCAGAGCTCCACCTCCGGGGAAGGGCCCTGCTCCCTTTCCAGATGGTTCTGGTGCACCAGTTCTCCCATACGCTGAATCCAGTGGAGGGAGGTCTTCTCACCCAGACAGGTCAATCCAACTTTCTCTTGTAGGAGACTTCCCCCAGGGCAGTGTCATCAAGTGGTCTCCCACATCCTGTTGCCGACCATGAATTCCTGCTAGCTGGACACTGGGTCTGCCTGGTCCCCACCCCAGGCACCCTGTTCAGCTCCTCCTTGAATTCCATGTGCCTCCCTCTGGCTCTGAATTAGCCTGAGCCGACCCTCGTCGGTGTCTTACAACCATAGAACCCCAAGGGGGCAGGGCCACAGGTGCGGCACCGTGACCACGCCGGGGTTGTGGGGACAACGACGCTTGCTTCCTGCCTGGCACAGACCTGACGCACAGTAGGTATTCAGAGAAAGGTGGTAGTAGCCATTCGAGCTGAAAGTTAAGAAAGTTCTTCCCATTCCTGTAACTTCCCGAAACTCACAGTAGTACTGGGAATTCGTTCTTGCGGCTGCTAGGAGAAATTACATGTTTATCATATGCTCAGCTGAGAATCCAAAGGAGCTCTTTATTCTAAAGTGAAATGAGGTTTCATCTTTGACAGGTGTCTTTTTCATAATGCTGACATCTTTCTCAAGTAGGAACTTCCTTTAGAATCTCTGCGAGCAGATTGTGAATGGTGATCCATGTTGGCAGACAGAGACAGACCTTCAGCTTCTCCAACGGCTGCCAAGAAGAGGTCTGGTATGTCACATTCAAAACATTGCATGATTGTCTGCCTGCAAGCCCCCCCCCTCCTTCCACCAGTGTCATATATGAATGTAAAGGAAATGAACGGTTTGCCATGGAGAAGCGTTGTTGCTCTAGGCTGAATCAGGCAAGTCTTTAATAGGCTTTTATTGAAAATAAGGACAATAATTCCCAAAGAAGTAGAATTCGTAAGTCCTCATAAAGCTTTCAAAACCAGATTATTTGTGCTATTCATGTCTGGGGTTGAAGTCGACTGTAGGAAGGTCCTCCCAGCTCCCGCTGCCCAGTGGGGGCTGGCCCGGGGGCCAGGGACCGCAGCAGGGCCCACCTGGCTCACCTCTAGCGCTCAGTGTCCTAGTTAGAAATCCCCAAAATGTAGTCCGCCCTTTCTCCACCCTGCCTGTTCTCGAGGATTCACCCAGAAATTTAAAAGAAGACAATAGGCAAATATTAAAAGGACTGTAGGTCCGATGACTCTTCTGGGCAGCCTAGCAGTCAGGAAGGGCAAGCAGCTCCAAGAAGCTAGCAGAAACTCCCAAAAAGTCCTGCAAGGCTCAACAGTTCTAAATCAAATCCTCTGTAACCATCAGGAGGTTTCTTTTTTTTTTTTAATTTTTTATTGTTATGTTAATCACCATACATCATTAGTTTTCGATGTAGTGTTCCATGATTCATTGTGTGTGCATAACACCCAGTGCTCCGTGCAGAACGTGCCCTCTGTAATACCCATCACCAGGCTAACCCATCCCCCACCCCCTCCCCTCTAGAACCCTCCGTGTGTTTCTCAGAGTCCATCGTCTCTCGTGGTCCGTCTCCCCAGGAGGTTTCTTTTAACCTTCCCATCCTTGAGGCCAACTTGATCAAGATGAAGATCAAGAATTCAGAATGAATGAATTGCTCACACATCTTTGTTTGCGATTCAGAATGAATCATTACCCACAGCAAGGAGTCTTAATACTTCCTCATGTGTTCTTTGCACCTGAACTATGTGTGCTGGCCACGGAAGCAAGCTTTCAAGAACTTGGGCAACGTGACCCCATTTCAGGGCCCCTTGCCTCGCTCATCGATTCTTCCCATGCACAGAAAATGTCACAAGCGCCCCAGTTAGAGCGCATTCCCTAGTCTTTCTAACCTAGCACAACTGGCATTTATTTTGAGAATGTTAAATAAGGGAAACCGAAGGATCACCTGTACAACCTATCAATCCTGCTTCCTTTGTGCCGTTCTGCTGGGAAAGGGGAGCGCGCGTGCCAACTGAAGAAGGAGCATGGTAGCGTTTAGGGGGTTCCTTGCAACCCAGAAAGTGGCGGTAAAAGAAAACCTTTCCTGTTCCCTCAAGAAAGGAAGGAGGCAAGAGTAAGCTGTCAGCCCTCTCTTCATTCTGTCCACAAGGAGGACTGGGTGTAGACGGGTCATTCGCGAGACCTCTGGTAGATAGTGGGAAACAGAGGCAGAGAGGTCCAACCTCTCTGCTTAGTCTCTGGAAGGACTTTGTTGTGGATGACCATGGGGGCACAGAAGGTGAGTGCTGCTGTGTTTTCCAAGCCAGAAAGAGAGATAATTCCTCCAGGGCTCCATAAGCCATCGGGTGGAGAGGGAGAGATCTAGAAGTTTCTGCTGCTCCAGGGGAAGACCTGGAGAGCAGAGAGCCATTGTAGGCTCAGGTGTCTACAGGAGTCCCTTCCCTAACAGCTGCCACAAGGCTGTTCCCACCTTACCCAGATGTCTCTGGGATGGGGCAGGAGGCAGCAAGAGAAATCCCAGACACGAAGTCCTCACCCCAATGCTCCCGCTGATCTGAAGGTGGCCCTTTAGACAGAAGGAGATCCTTACGGAGCAGCCGAGTTACGTTTAAATGGCAAATTTAACACATTTCCAGACCCTCCCCTGCCCTACGAGTCTGGGTATGGATCCTGAAGGCACAGAAAGCACCAGATAGAGAAAATAGGAGGCAGGGGTTATCACTCACCCACCTCTCTGTGGCTCGGCTGCCCCATCTGTAACATAAAACTGAGTTTTCCTATATCTAAAAAGTTGTCCTAAGGATGACATCCTTCACAGAACTTTTGGAAACGTGAATGTGCACATCATCACAGTGGCAGATCCTCAGCCTGCAGAAGGAAGGGGCAGGGGATAAAGACGAAGAGCCCCCCATGCCAGGCACGTAAGTCTCCTGGCACACCCAGAGCTGGGGTGCTTCTCCTGGCCTCGTTTGGGAGGTCGTGTGCTAGGGCTTTGCTGTCCAGCTTGATTAGATTTTTCTGATGAAGTAGCTCCTTGCCTAAACCTTCCTGGTCTGCCTTCCTTCCTCCCACACACCCACACTTCCCAGGTATTAAATTTTTCCTTCTGGCCAGCATCTGACCCCGATTACAAACATTTCTCCACTAAACATCTGACAAGATAAGGAGAAATGACACATAGAGCAGGTGAGATGCTTTCAGTGGGCTCAGAAACTTTCATTAGTTCAGGAGAGAATTGTACTATCTGTGACTGATTGTATGGCGAGAATATTAGTTGGATGCCTTTGAAATGCTCACGAACCATATTTAAATAACTAGCCTAAACAGGCAAGGTGGTGACACCACAGCAGGGGTGCGTGGGCTGTAAGCCCCCCACCCCAAACTCAAACTGTATGTAGTGTGGATTTCATATTTATAATCAGGTTAATATTCCTTTTTGCAGAAAATTGAAGCATACTTAATATTCATTGATAGCTTCAGATTTCTAAATAAAATATTTTTTAATGGTAAAACAATCCATGAAACAACAAGCATTTTGGTTAGTTAGAAATTTCTCTTTACCCTGTTTAGGCATCTGCCGTTCAAAAGGCTCCCTCTTTTAGAGATAATGATATGAAATTAGTTTAGCTGGGAGATCAGGATCATTTTGTAGGCCAAGGTGGAAGCTTCCAGTAGATAAACTTTCAAGTGCCTTGCATTTATTTGTCCATGAATACAACCCTAATAAAAGACTGTAAACTTTAAATGGGTACATAGGTGGAAAACAACTATGGTGTTCATAAAAACTAAATGGTGAATCCATGGATGAGAGGTCTGAACCTTATAGGGGAAAAGATGTAGAGAGAGGTCAAGATTAAGAACATATTCAGTGGGTTCATCAGAGAGATAAGGTTTATAGGAATGCCTGCGTCCCGGAGGGCTGCCTATAGGGAAAAGCCTACACTCGGCAAATCTAGCAGTTTCCCCCCTCAGAACCTGGAGGGTCTGAGGATTTTTTCCCCCCTTTAAGCCCTCCCTGGGGAGCCCAGGCAAAGTTCTGTAGGGGATGTGAGTCCCTGCCCCAGTCCCACCATGGGGGACGGTGGGACCTCGATGGCTGGGCAAAGGCTGTTCTTCTTCCTTGCATCTGCTTTCTTCTTGATGATACTCGGGAGAGATTGTCTGGGAAGTAACCTCTGCCAGGTGAAGGAGGGGAGCGGGAAAAAGAGTCAAGGCTGGGTCCCAGAGCTGGCGGTCATCTCTTTGCAGACTCTAGTCTCCCTTGGTTACCACTGTGTGGGCATCACACCCCGGCTAGAGCATCATGAGAGGGACCCAGGATGTCCACCCCAGAGCCCATATGGTGTCTCTGTGTCCCCACCTGTTAATAGGGATGGTGCAGAGGGTGGCAATGAGGTGGTGCATGTGAATGCACCTGAGACACATTGTTCTCGTTCCTGGAGATTACCTTAGTCTGGTCTCCTCTGGGAGGGGGAGGTGGGAAAGAGAGAGAGTTGGAAGGAAGAGATGGCCCACGATTATCCTGGCCGTCCCTCCTCAGCTTCTAGACTTTCATCTCCACTTGGCTTCTCCGGGGTTGCCACAGCCACTGGACAAGGCGGCACCAGTTTCTTCCTGTGACCTTTCTCCTGTCCTTCCTCCTCTGCCTCCTCCTCACTTCTGCTCTTGCAGTTCGTGCTGCCTTCCTCTTCATCACGCCCAGGGTTACCCTTAATCGATCAACCTCTCTTGGCGCCACTTGGCCACGACACCCTGCACCGTGACGTCTGGTCAGCTGTGCCAGGACCATCCTCATGGGTACCCTCGATCACCTCTCAAGACCCGTGGGCAGCTGTTGTTAATTCCCAAGGTAGGAACCCAGGCACTCTTGGTGTCCTTGGTGCAGCTCCAGCGTCACGCCTTCCTTTCTCCTGCAAAGGTGATGGGGGACTGGGTCTGTCGCACATTGACGCACACTGTTATCATCCAGGTTTTCCCCACTGACAGTCAGGGCCGGCGATCTTGCGTCTGTCTGCCACCCCGTTCCCACCCCCAGGCTGGAAGGGAGTGTGGGGATGGGTGACTGGTGGCACAGCAGGCAGGAAAAGCGGGAAGAAGACAACCCCTGGTGCACGTATTGTTCCCGTTTCCCCCACAGCCCACCCTGTGATTGATGAGGACAAGATGTGGCCCGAGGGGGAAGGAGCTCATAAAGTATTTGTTGAGTAAACACATTCTTTTCCAGAATAAAACTGAACAGGTTATTTTCCTTGTAAAACAAGACTTTGTCATATCCCTTACTTTTTTCTTTTTTCTTTTTTTTAAGTAGGCTCCACACCCAACATGGGGCTTGAACGCAAGACCTTGGGATCAAGAGTCAGATGCTCTACTGACTGAGCCAGCCAGGCATCTCTTTTGCCATTGTCCATTTGCAGTTTAGTGGCTCATTTTCGTTATTTCTTCATTCATTCATTTGTTCATTCATTCATCAAATGATTATCGAGTCCTTACTGTTCTTTGTGGGGATAATGAAGCAGTGAACACGATAGTAAACTCCCCATCGCTGGTGGGATTAGGGCAGGGTAGCAAAAGCAAACAAAAGAAACAAAGGCATCAGATGGCTGTGGGGATGTGGGAGAGGCTTCCCTGGTGCTTTGGTGGGGGCTCAGGGAAGGCCTCACTGCAGAAGTGATATTTAGACCAAGTCTAATGCAGGTGGAGCCAAGCATGCAGACTCAGAGGGGATTATATACCAGGTAGACAACGACGTTCCAGGTTCAAGGGAGAGAGAGAGAAGGCTGGTATGTTTGGGAGGAGAGGGTAAATGAGTCTGGGAGGTGGGCTGAGTCCAGATCATGTGCATCTTTCCTCATGGTGAGACACAGTTGGCACTTTGGCCAGGTCGGATCTTCACTGTGCCGGACTGCATCCAGGTTTTGAGCACTAAGTGCACTTGTAAGTCATTGTGACAAAGGAAGTCCACACCTCTTCACCTCCAGCCCCGTTGGGAGTCCAGCACCTGCTGAGTAGGGCTTTTAGGCTAGGGACAAGAGCTTGGACTGTATTCTCAGTGCAATGGAAGACATTTCAGTATCCAATTTACATCATTAGATATTGTTACCGATCACTCTGGCTACTGTATGTCAAAGATTTTAGGGAGTAAATAATGGCAATGGTGAAGCCAGGCAGCAGGCTCATTGCGGGCTGCATCAGACATGTTGGCTATGTCCATATGGCAACCTGGGGAGTGCAGGAGAAAGAGAGACAAACTGGGGAGTCAAGGGCAAACATCAGGACTCTATACGGTTGTTGAGGGAGGTTGTGTAGAAAGATGAGAAGAGTGTCCAGGATGGAGCCTGGGCACTCGGAACATTCAAAGTTTTACGAGAGGAAGAAGAGCTGAAAAGAGGTGGTAAAGGAATAATCAGCGAGGGAGGAAAAAAAACTAGTAGCATATTTTATTGCTAATTATCTAAATCAACATGTAAAATATGTCATTTATCTCAAATACTGTTTCTGATGGTTTCTAAAAATAACTGTATTTCATTGAATCGAAGACCCTCTCAGTTAGAAGATATACCACTATTTCATGCATCACCAAAAAAGAAAAATATGCTGCCAATTAAAACTATGATGCCTTTATTGTAAAATGTATACCTGCCCCAAATGTCTGCCTCCAGAAGAAGAAAGAAAGAGCTTAGAGCTTACTTATTTCTTAATGGTGGTTCTCAACAGGGGGCGATCTAGTTTCCTTCCCCCAGGAATTTTGGTCGTACCTATAGACATTTTTGGGGGTCACAGGTAAGGTGGTGGTGCTATTGGTATCTACTGAGTAGAGGCCAAGGATCCTGCTAAATATCCTGCCAGGCTCAGGGCAGCTTCCAACAGCCATGGATCATCAGCCCAAAATGTCAACAGTGTCAATGAGGCAAAACCAGGCTCTAAAGAAACAAGGAGATTTGCTTATGCTTTCTACATTCCACTATCACCTTCTGGATTTCCTTTACCTTTTATTTCCATAGAACATGGATCTTAAGCACTGGGCCTATCCTGCATGCATATATTGAAAACTACAGAAGCATTTTAGGAGCAACCATGAATTGGAGCAATCATTTATTTCAATAAGTTAACCTAAGCCCTGCACAAGGCTTTATTTCTCCTACTCTAATATAAAACCAGAAAATACACTCAGCCACATTCTGCATTTTAATTATACTTTCAGAGGGTATAACAGTTATATGAATTAAGAAGCAGTAAACTTAAATTAATTTTTTTCATATATGCCAAAAGATGCAGGCCTTAATGTGTGTCATAAGGTGTGAACAACGGAATCAATTGTAGAATTTTTTTTAAAGATACCCAAACCCTAAATTACACTGAGTTGCTAGCTTTTTCCAACTGGTTATGTGTCTCCTTAACATCATTTGAACACAGTTCCACATTGTAGGCTTAGCAAGGATCTAAACCCAGGAGTAAAAAAGTTGGTGCTTGTGGGAAGTTTCCGGGTGTTATAACAGGAAGCTCTGGAACTTATAAAAAAGAAGACTTCTTTCATCTTTTCAGTCCAAGATCTGCCTGACTTGATGTGCTTGAACTTCTGAAGCATGAGTCAGAAAGTGTCACCCAACTTTAGGGGTGACCAAGGAGAAGCAAAAGTCAAAAAGAATTTGTTCCCTCTCTCTGTGGCTTTCATGCTGATGTCAAGAGGACATTTGTGAGAAGGGCATGGGTGTCTCTAAGATAGTTACCTTGTGACAAGTAAGAGGTAAACTTTCACTGAGAAATACATTAAATTCCAAGGCTGAGTCCAGTGCTAATCCGCCCTTTAGGTGTTGACAATAGGTCTTCACATATTTTAACTACACCGTAGGTATTCGTCACAGACATCTGACTACAGGCTTGGTCACCAAAAGAGACAGTCCAGTTGCAGGCAAAACCCTCG